AGCAGGATAAGTTAGTACATCATATGCGTCGTTGATCTGATTGGTTTATCTAGGCCCGTCTATCACCAACATAGGCCAATCAGCTAACCAGTATTTTCGCCCCTTCCCAAAATTACTTCAACGGAAGGTTTCCAGATGGATATGCGGAGTCAGGTTACATCTGGATGGGCCTCCAGCGAATCCTGACTCACTTGACTTAAAGTCCCCTCAGACAGACAGAAGGGACTGTATGGAGAAAAAACATGGACGGTGAAAACGGTAAATTTGATTTGTGGTGGTGAAATTCGATCAAGTTGATCATTACAAAAGTCAGACATGCCTGTTGACATCCTGTTCATGCTAAGAACACAAAACACACATGCAAAATTTTAAGATTTTATAAAAATTTTAAACAATTTCAGTTTGGAAACAAAGCAAATTTCTATTCTACACAGATATAATAAAAACCTTCACTTTTATTGTCGGATATTTGAGTATCTGGCAAGAGGAGACACAATGTCCCATTAAAGTTAGGAAAATCCAAAAGCCAGCAGACGCCAAGCTATTTTCATCCCAGAATACGCATTGCATGATGCAAATCTTTTTCTGCAAAGTGGTTCTGTGGGAGCAGGAACACTGGTGCCATTCAGGAGCGATGGCACAGCACATTTACAATGCAAAGACGCACGGACGAGACGTGCATTCTCACTGCTTTACATCACAGGAATAGGCAAACAGGAGAGTAGGTTCAAGGTAGATACCATCTCAGCATGAACATGTCAGTCATTTTAAAAAATGTTTCATGTTGAGGCATGATCCAGTTTCGTGCCCGCGAGTCTCACAGTGAGCGCGACGCAGCAGTGAGGGATCTCTGTAGTAAAAAGGGTGGAAAGAAATGCAGGGCTTTCTTTAAACAAGCATCTAAAAACTGGCAGGAAAAAAAATAAAGACTTGTTTTTACTAGGTAATCATTTCCTTCAGTTTAGTGTTCCTCAGAGGATGTGATTGCTGCACGACATCTATGAAAGATGAGAGCAGATTAGAAACATGTTTCACCAAGTAAAAAGTAAAACCAAAGAAAGGAAGGATTTAGAACATCAGATCTGACTTTAGGCATCCAAGAAGAGCTTCTATTTGGATATTTCAAAATGTCAGATCTGGACCATTTCATTATACGTTAGAGGATTAGGGCCACTGGAAAAAAAAATAAAAAAGTTAACAGATTTTTAAATTTTATTTCAGTTTAGTGTGGGAAAAGTCTGAATTCTGACTTTAATCTCAGAATTCTGACATTTTTCTCTGAATTCTGACTTTAATCTCAGAATTTTGACTTTTTTTCAGAATTCTGACTTTTTTCTCAGAATTCTGACTTTAATCTTAAAATTCTGACTTTTTCTCAGAATTCTGACTTTTTTCTCAGAATTTCGACTTTAATCTCAGAGTTCTGACTTTAATCTCAGAGTTCTGACTTTTTTCCTCAGAATTCTGACTTTAATTTCAGAATTCTGACTTTAAATCAAAATTCTGACTTTTTAATGATCAGATTTCAGTCAGAATTCTGAGAAAAAAGTCCAAATTCTGAGATTAAAGTCCAAATTCTGAGATTAAAGTCAGAATTCTGAGATTAAAGTCAGAATTCTGAGGAAAAAAGTAAAAACTCTGAGATTAAAGTCAGAATTCTGAGGAAAAAAGTCCAAATTCTGAGATTAAAGTCAGAATTCTGAGATTAAAGTCCGAATTCTGAGAAAAAAGTCAGAATTCTGAGTTTAAGTCAGAATTCTGAGTTTTTTTCCCATACTAAACTGAAATAAAATGTAAATATCAGTTAACTTTTTTTTTTTCTCCCCACTGGCCCTAATCCTCTTCCGTATCATTAGAACCAAAAATCCCTCATTAAACACATTTTTTTCTGAAACCTCAAAATATCAATTTTATGACCCAAAATGTTCAGCTTAAATACTCCATTTTTGTTACTATGGGTTTTATTATTAATTAACTTGTAATTTGCAATAACTTAACAGCCGACTGTCGATTCTATGAAACGATTAAATCTTTGTAAAATCAGTAAACATCAGCTTTAGTAATTATTCTCTAAAGAGCATTGTTTTTAAAATAAGGGATTTAATTTGATGATTTGCAATCTTATGTGATACATTTGATTGGCTGATCATGCTGTAATGTTGACTCCTGTGGGAGTAAAGCCCTGAATCTTTATTTCTGTGATGGCCAAACCCATGGCCACACCTAAAGTCTGGAGTATACATGCACCTTTATTTATTTATTCCATACACATACTTTAATTTGCAATAAAACTTTATTCTTAGTTCAAATGCATTTGTTCTATTTGTAAGCGCGCACATTTAGTTCACTGTATTTGTTTGCACTCATTTATATTTCTGTTTTTGTCACTAATCTGTTTCTTACCTATGGTGCCTAGGAGTTTGGCCAGACAAAGATGGCAGCCAGGGGAAATTGGACTGTTCCATCAGCTGCAGCTTAAAGGGGGGAATTGAATTTTCTAATTTGTTTTGCGGTTGGTGTTTTCGTTTTTCTAAGATATATATTTTTTTTTTGCCAAACCTATCTGTACTGCCAATGTTTGTAATTTGTGGTTGTTTACTTTGAATTACCCCTATTGCGTTAACGGTCTGATCAGCCAGTGAATATATACCCTTGTGTGTCATTTCTGTTAGGTCAGTTTGCTTAAGTTAAGTTTTCTCTTGTTTGGTTGGCCTCTTTTATGACTTGAACCCATGTATTTTTTGTAAGCTTCTTTTTTGGGTTAAAAATAAAAAACCCTATTTTTGAATAAATTCCTGTGACTCCTCTTGCTTTTCATCTCGGTCCCTTACAAAGTCGGATTAAATTTGCTCTTTAACAGGTTAATCTAACCTGGAGTCAAATGTTTGGAGGATTTCAAATTATCCTGTTTATGGATAACCAACCGTTTAGAATACATTTCTGTTTTTAACATGGCTACTAAAATGCTACGACAGACGCACATAATGGCAACACTTAATGGTTTGTAAATGGTTTTTATTAGCAAAATAAGGGAGATGAGTCTACAAAGATTCTCTTTACATGGAGAACAAACACATACACCGACAGTTGTGGCAGTTTCTTTCCAGGAAAACATCCAGGCCTGTTCGCGTGTGCGTCGTCGCTCCTCTGGATTCGCGTGCCGACCAGAAACGTGTCGACCGCCGCGCTTCTCGTCGCGGCACCACGAACCGAGACAGCTTACGTCGTTTTTTTACCCTCAACTTTACAGCGATCCGTCCTGCTTTCATATCCAACACAAAAAAATCTTACATCTCTTCCAAATATGTTAAAATATACAATAAAATGTGACAAATCTGGTCTCTGTACGTAAAATACTTGAGTATATTAGACGCTCAGTGCTTCGACTAACCGCTTTCTGAATGACTGGAAAAATTGGATGTTTTTTTTGTACAGTTTAAAAACCAGAGCCCCCAGATTCGTGGGCTAAATGTAACAATATACATATCAGGGTTGAACTCTGATTGGCCGACGGGCCTTTGAAGTCATGGCAGGTGGAATGCATGGGGGCGGGGCGGGGGATTGTGGAGGCTACATGTTGACCGCCATGGACCTATAGAGAGATTTCCACCTGACAGCTCAGTGTTGCGCACAAAGGAGATAGCGTAGACACTAATGTATGAAAACAGTTTACGTCTGTGTGTATAGAACGACTTCAGCAGGCAACAGAACAAGCGTCGAGACTACGGCTGCAGTAAAAGGCATGCGAAGGCACAGGTACCAACAGACTGGACTCGGAACTGTTCCCCTTCTCTCCATCCTGTTTTTTTTCTTTTTGTGTTTTAGGAAAAGAAGGAAAAATGAGCATTTCCAACCAACAGCAAGGCTTCCGTTTCCAGATATGGCGGCAAGAAAAAAAAAAAAGGTGATAAACAAAAAAATCTTAACCTCCTAGACCTCAAAAATTAAAAACAGATAAAAAAAAAAAAGAAAAGAAAAAGTACGGTGATGCTTTAACATTGATACAAACAGCCTACACAAATGGAATAACGCTAATTCAGAATGTTTGCAGACGGAAACATAAATAAAGCTGTTAAAAGTGGCGTATAGTACAGCACTGGTCCATCACTGATCCTCTTCTCATCCTCTCTACAAAAGATGCACAATGAGCTGGCTCCGCCGCCTGAGGAGAGAGCAGACATGAAAGAATGATGGATGGAGACGCAGACCGCCACTCCTCTCTGCACCGCATGGAGCAAAACAAAGGAGGACAAATTAGAGCCTTGAAATTTACAAAAAACAAATAAAGGGTTTCAATTCTTACCAAAAGCAGGTTATCTTCGCCGGCGTGGTGCTCAGAAAAGACCGCAGTCTTTCAGGTTGTTCTTTATGATGACGTCGGTGACGGCGTCGAAGACGAACTGCACGTTCTTGGTGTCTGTGGCGCAGGTGAAGTGGGTGTAAATCTCCTTGGTGTCCTTCCTCTTGTTCAGGTCCTCGAACTGACACTGGATGTAGGCAGCGGCTTCCTCGTACGTGTTGGAGCCTGACGAGTGATGAAATCATGTTAGGAATGTGGAAACCCGTGGCGTAAACACAGGGAAGGAAAATGCACACAGCGCAAAATATGGAAATATTTAGACAGCCTGAAATGTTCAACTTTTCATCATCAAGAGTTTTTATTATCTGATTATCTGCATATTGGACCCTTTAAAGGGACTTTCTTAATAGTGACAAAATAAAGAAAAAAAGCCACAGGAAATTAGGTTTACTCTCAGTAGAGATATTTGAAATGTTTTGTGGTAATTTGATGATTCCAAATATACTATAATAAAATAGTTTAGATAGTCGGTGGTCTAGTCAAAGTCCAGACCAGAATAGTTGAGAATCAGTGGCAACATTTATAAATTTGCTCTTCAGAATCTTTCCATTCAAACTAGGGGTGTAAATAATAATCGTTTTGTATCGATGCGTCGATCCAACAGCCGACGATCCGATGCATCGACACGTCCGAAAGAGAATCTATACATGTTTTTTTTTTTTCCTCCGGTCTATTTTTATCCATTTGCTCCTGGGCGTAATTCTCCCTCCCGTGCTGCGGTGGCGCTAAACCTATTTTGCCCTCCTACCTCGCTTCCTGGTTATACTCTTACAGCAGTGAGTTGCAGTGAGCTTGACACAGACATTTCTGATTTATGCTCAATATTAAAGCGTGGTCTGAGCTACACGCTGTGGGTCTAGATACGGCCGAGGCGGCGAGGAAGTGGGGGAGAATTTAGTCCGACGACGGAGGGACATGAGGGCCAAAAAGAGCGGAGATCCAGGTGGAAAAAGGGTCCCAGCGTTCTCGCGCAGCTCGCTCTTCTAGGGGGTCAAACTTCACAAGTTGTTTTCCGCAATTTCGGTCATAAAAACAAAACAAGCCGACCTCCTGTCTGCGGTCAGCTACAATTTAGGAGAGGAGCAGCGCAGCGTCTGTGGAGGGGGCGGGGCGTCTGGAGCCGAGGTATTGCATTGCACTGATTTTCTGCATTATTTTTTGATGCAACTTTTCTTCTTCTGTTATTTGCTGTTGATTTATTTCAAACTTGAAACTTTGTTTAGCCTGTAAGGTGTAAAAAAAATAAATTAAAAAAATTAAAAATTAACCGATTAATGGATTAATCGAATCGTGGTGTATTCTTGAGTATCGAAAATAATCGAATCGTTGGGTCAGGAAATCGATACTGAATCGAATCGCCATGATAAAACATGAAGTTTTAAAATAGAAACTATTTCAGTATCTAGATGTGCAAAAACATAACCTCCAAAAATGGATCTGCTGCTGCAGCAAAAGGCATTTCTAGAAAAATAGATTAATGAGGTAGAACACACATTTTTCACTCCACTCTATTATTCTTATCACTACTTTGTGTTGAGAAGGAGCTCCAACATATGATCCCCAAAAAGGTGATTTAAAATGTGGAAATGTTCTATAAGGTATCATGATGTCTTCCGCCTTACCTGCGTATTCAGGGTAGCAGATGGTAAGAGGGCTCTTCTTGATCTTCTCCTCAAACAGGTCCTTTTTGTTGAGGAACAGGATGATGGACGTGTCTGTGAACCACTTGTTGTTGCAGATGCTGTCAAACAGCTTCATGCTCTCATGCATTCGGTTCTAAAAGCCAAACACAGGAAGGAAGCCATTAGCTCGGCGATCCATAAACGCAGAGATCCTGATATGATCCATCTCCGTTTCTCCATCTATCACTATTTCTGTTTGCAAAGGAAAACCAAAGCAACCACTGACCATCTCCTCATCCTCGGCCAGCACCAGGTCGTAATCGCTCAGCGCCACGCAGAAGATTATGGCCGTCACGCCCTCAAAGCAGTGGATCCACTTCTTCCTCTCGGATCGCTGACCGCCAACGTCGAACATTCTGATGGGCAGACAGCAGCGTTAGCACAGTTCTCATCCTGAAATAATCACATCTGGAAACTCTTTCTGCTTAAATAAATTCACACTCAAACGTTAATGAAACGACTTAAGAAGTTAGAATAAAGGAAGGCAAATATCCCGTCTTTTACTGGTTACTGATTGCTCCGTATCTAGGCGCTAACACACCAAGCTAACAGTTTGGTTTTCTTTATTACTTAATATTCAGCGTCAGAAAACATTTTAAAAGGAAACAGTTTTCTATTCGGCTAAGCTGCAGCTTAAACAGTAAACAAATCTAACAAATCATGGGAAATCTGGATATGCTAATTGCTAACATAAGGTATCGATCACAGCTTAGAAAGCATTTGTTTAAAAATATCAGTTAACCCTGCATTTACTGCACATAAACATTTGATCAAATGTGCTAATAAATTAGCAATCTGACATGTTATAGTATACCCCCAAAAGGTAAGCAGGATATAAAGCTTTTGTACGTCATTTATTTAGGCTAAATCTTGCAGGAAAAAAATCCAAACATGGAGTGATGTGGTCCATGCTTAGCTTATTGGGGTAAACTGATAAAAGTGATCTTTAATTAGTCCTGTTCCCGTAAAAATGAGTAAATATTAGCAATGATACAGAGAGAGATTGGTTCAAATGTTTGTAAAGAAGATAAAACTCCTCAAGTTAATCAAGAGTTAGCATCTTTAAATACAAATCAAACAGTAACGAACCCGGAAGTTGATGGAACGTTTACTAAATGCTAAAAGTCTTGATCGTCACAAACACCACATGGTTTTATGCAAGTTTATAAAACAACTAAATAAGCCTAAACTGCAAAGATTAAAAAAGATCCTTTAATCTTATCTGAGAATCTAACGTGTTTGCAGCCTTGCTGCTGGATTTATTCTGCACTCAGCAGCATTTAGCAATTTTGTTCTTTTCTATTAAACCTTAAAGTTCTGTTTTTA